TGATCATTTTTTGGTGATTTCTGTTTGCCTTTTTGTTGCACTGGCACATGTTTCAGTTTGTTTTTTGAGTGTTTGGTTTACTTTAGGGGGTTTGTGTAATTTCTTTGGTCAGTGCATTTTGTGTCTAACTTCCTTTTTTTTTTGCACATTTTGGGAAGTCAGCAAATACACTGGCACGGAGTCTTCACGAGTCAGGTTCATTCAGAAACACGTGGAGTTGTATTTTATCTGCTTATTGCTTAACCCCATGAAGCGTTTTACAGCTGACTGTAAATGCTGAATAAGGCAACTAAAATGGACACACGTGTCATGTGTCAGTTGAAGGAACATCAAAAGTTGAATGATTTGCTTTGTGCTGCCTGTGGAGTAGATCTGAAGTGAGACGGTAAACCTGATGTAACACAGCGTTTTAATGCCTAAAACTTTACAGAAAATGTTGATAATGACTGAGTGCTGCAGCAGTCATAGGACTGCTACTGTTATACGAATGGGCCGAATGCAGACTGATAGAGATCCTCTTCTTCATTCCCCAACTGTTGTAATCTCACAGATGGCAATATCCTTTACAACAGAGGCTGCGAGCTGGAGCGGCGCCAGACGCTGTCTTAATTCGACTTTGATCATCTGTAACTCTGGCTGCCTGTCACTCGTTTGGGTTTTTAAACAAGGCAAAGCAAAAAATATTCAGGCAATCAATCCTTATAGATGTTTCCGGTAGTTATTTGGAAAAATAATTAAAGTTATTGATCAGTGGAGAGTAAAATGGGGGCGATTAAGATCGAGTTACATGCAGAATTACCAGAGGACAAAAGATCCAGAAATGTTTGTCAGACTTGCTCATACAGGTGAAACAAAGCCACCTGAGGGGGGCGCTGCAGAGCTGATCATATAACAATACTTTAAAAGCGAAAACTAGAAAAAAATTAAATACATGACAGTTTTGACACACTTCACTAGTTTTTTTCTACTTTTGTATTTGTATGATGTCATACAGAGCGGATAGCCCTAATTTGGTCACCCAAGGCACAGAAGCCCCACCCATTTCCAGTTACCAGGGGCAGCCAGTCAGGAGAAAGTCAGTTTAAGAGGGAGGAGCTAAAACAGCTCGTTTCAGGTTAGGATGAACTGAAAGTAAACACACAAGCAAGCACACACACACACACACACACACACACACACACAAAACATGTTAAACAATCACAAAAATACCAAAGACTCAAGGCCCAAAGAGGCCTAAAATGATCCAAACTATAGGAAAAAATCACACAAAGAGACAAAATAAGAAAAAACTAAAAAGTTCCAAACACAGAAAACAACTACAGACACAAAGGGTCTTCAAAGGAAAACACCCCCCCCCCCCCCCCCCCAAAAAAACACAAAAAAGTGTAAAATGAGGGCAAAAGGATGCAAAATAGCATCTTAAAGGTTCTACATCACTACAAAAACATGCACAGACCCAAAAGGTCCTAAAAATTACCCAAAGCATACAAATCAACTACAAAAATATGAAAAACATTAATTAAAAGGCTCAAAATCGTTAAAGAAAATTACATTTATAACATTTAAAAGGCCTACGAAAAGACACTAAATCACTCAAACAGAACTGAAAAGCCCTAATAATGACCAAAAGCAGAGAAATGGGGATGCAGAGAAACTAAATGATCATAAAGACATGCAAAATCTCTGAAATGTCCTCAGAGACTTTAAAAATAAGCCAAAAACAAACCCAGTGACCTGAAATGATGAAAAAAATGACAGCATGATGGAGAACAGTTTTTTTAAAAAAGATATACAACAGCATACATGGTGCAGGAGTGTGGTGTCTTCGTCAGTGGAAATAAAGATGGCGGTTTGTAAGCAGGCAGTCAAAGTGGAAAAGGACTGAAACTGATCTGAAGCTGGACGTCCCCCTCCGTCTACCTGCCGTGGAGCCTGGCCTGTGTGGAAGAGGCGGCCATTTTTAAACCTCGACATGTATTGTTGGACGTGACACGCTCAATTTATCATTAGTTGTGAGGGAAGAACGGATGAGTACACTTTCAATTTAGTTCCGCTGCTTTCTCCATTCATCACGCCGCTCTCATCATCCATCATCTCCACCGCTGCCATCCACGGCAAACACACGTTCATAAGTTTAATGCAATTAATCTTCATGCTAAGATAATTTCATATTAATGAACCACGGCATTTATTTGATTATTGCTTTGATGAAGTCGACGGGCCCAGTGTCGCCGCTGAGCGTGAAAGTGGGAAGATTTGAAGTGTTTCCTTTGTGTCGGCGCTCTGCGGAGGTTTATGTGCGTTTCCCAGCGAGCGCCTTCTGTCTTCATACAACAAGCCCTGAGAAATTGGAAAAGTTGCAGCAATAGATAGGAGGTGACCTGGAAACAAAAGCAATCAAGGATAGAGGGGGATGTGGGCTCCGCGGCGGCCGCCATCAGCCCGCGGTTCAGCCACACTGTCAATAAAAGAAGAAATACCTTTTGAGGCATGAGGCCGAGGGCAAAGAGGAGTCTGCAATTTCACACCTTCATGTACCCTGCCCGAGGACATTTTTCATGCGACTCCACCTCCTCACTCAGCGAGCGCCGTCAAAGCCTCACAGCAGATTGTACACATAACAAACACGGAGAAGGGGATTGGACGAGGAGGACGGCTGCCGTATCAACGCATGACGACATCATTATTTCCCAAACTAAATAAGCTGGAATTTAACCACAAATCAATCCACTTGAAGAACTTCAGACTCAATTGTAGCTCAATCACAGCAGCAAGAAAAAAATCAATTCTGACCAATTAATGCCTGTTTCATTAGAGTATGCAAATGAGAGGTGCCGTCAGAGGCTCGGGCTTACATTTCCCCCTAATGGACAACGCCGACACTCACAGGAAGCTGTCACGGTCTGCTCTAGGCCCACTTTCATTTTAATAATGACCGCTCAGACACAACAACAACACAACAGCCACACAGAGGTACAGAAACGACCCGAAACGGCACTAAACCTGAGAAATTACTACAAATGATGCAAAAGAACATTTTACAGAAGCAACATGCAGTAAGGCCAAACATCTTTAAAGGGACTCTGTGTCCAAAAGAAGACACGAAATATAACCACGGACATAAAATATCTTCAACAGTGACACATCAGTAATGAGTGAACCCACAAAAACAACCACACAAACTGAGCACGGACAAAAAACCTTCAGGAGTCCAATAAGACCCCGTCGTACTGAAAAATACAATTAACCCAGTCGCACTCCTCCAGGTGTCCCTGTCCCTGAGTGAAGGTGGAGGGGACCAGCATCACTGTGGGCAACTCCAGAGGAGACATGTTCCTTCCCCACTAAATAGGCCAGCTTTCATCCACTCCACCTTCCCTGCAGGGCGATCCTCACAGCTGGTTCAGGGTGAGCCAACCCTGGCCTCGCAGGGGAAGTCCTAGTCTCACCAGATGATGTCCCTGATCCAGGTGAGGGTTCTGGGTTTTCTCACAGGACCAGTTTGGGAGACTCATCCAAGTTCAAACTGCCCCCATTAAAACATCATGGAGGGACTACACGACTGATTTTTCTACGTTGTAATTTTTGTACTATTTAATTTGGTTTATTTATATGGTTTTTAATAGTTAAGCAACACATTTTTCATGTTTTGTCATGCTGTGAAATGTAGAAATACTACTGTGTAAATAACCCCAAAATGAAAATACTCATTACTGATGTGAGTAGCAGTAACTTTACCTCTGCTTATAATGATCTGTGCAGCAACTGTTTTTTCATACCTAATGATACTATGACGTACTAATAATACTGTAAATAACTGTGTTATGAGTAGACTCCCCGTCTCTGTACACTTTTACTTTTCTCATAGTTAACCTCAGAAAATGAAGTTGTTGTTTTATTTTCCACAGAAATCATGAGGATATTGTTCCCATGATTTCTTTTATACCATGTGAGGCTCTGATATCCCGACGTCCTTTCCCAGCTGCGTGTTGTACCGTACGTGTTAAAGTGGGGTCGGAGCGAGTCCGGCTTCAGGAATCGATCGGCCCCGGGAGCTGGACCGGACCTCGTCTGCATCACATCCATCAGAGCGGCGGCACAGAACAGATGGCAGAACGATGTATTTAAAGGCATTACACTCAAGCTAATGGCGAGCCTTAGAGGGAACAGTCATTTACCCCTGTGAGTGGTCACTTCCCAGCACAGCGTCATTTAAAATGATGTCCGCCGCCCGATACACTCTCTTGGATTCAATTTGGAAATGTATTCATATTTACTCAGCGTACCTGCATTGCATTTGTATGGATCAGTCGGGGTAAACGTAAAACTGAGCAAATTGAATCAACATATTGGGACGGGGCATATGTGGGGGCGTTAGCGAGCAGCCGGGGTCAGCGCGATGCCTTTTATGATGTCCCTCTGAAATCTATCTGAATCACATTAAATTGGATCTAAAGATGTGCAGACACATACATCACAGTAAATGGTGGTGGAGCAGCGCTCGCCAACAATCCCACCTCAACAATCGGGTTATGGGATCGGCTTTAGATCCTATTAATAATTCACAATCTTGTTAGGGGAGAACAAACATTTCTGTTCAGGCTATTCCAGCTGTGGGATTGTTATTCCAGGCGGTGGCGGCGGCCTCGGCGCGAGCACAGAGGCTGTGAAATGTAAGCCGGCCGTGTGTGGAAGAATAGCTCCATGTTATTTCACAGTCTCTGCTTTCTTTATTAAAGCGCCGTCACAGTAAACACACCGCCCGCCCGCCGCCTCCCTCTCAAGTCGGCTCTGAAGTACAGACGCGGCCTCACGTGACTCATTTAACCTCCGCTAACAGGTGACAAAATATTAACACATGTGGAAATACTGGAGTAACGTAAAGTAACCTGAATACTTCAAACTCGAGTCCATTTCGCAGTACGTCTTGTCATTTATGTTTGTAATTAAAAACATTTTTGTATTATTCCAAATAATAAAATAATTACATGGATCCCAAATATTCTGATTATTTTAATAAAGAAAGAAAAGGTAGACTGACCTCTCACCTCAGTGAGGACCTCATCCCAAAGGTTGGGAACCCTGCATTACATCATCTCTGATGTGGGCAAATATAAAAATAATCATAAAAAAGTTTGATGTTTGTTTAGTTTTCCCTCTGCCTTTTTCTTTCTTTTCATTTTACAGACTATTAAATATATATATATATAGGTTGTAATATTGTAATAATGTTTACTTTCTTTACTATGTCGATCTCTGTTTTAGACGTTTCTCAGATTCTTTTATTATTTTTCCTGTTACTGCAGAAGGGATTTGAAAAATGTGGATTATCTATCTCTGTCTGTGTGTGTGTGTGTGTGTGTGTGTGAGGTTTATGGTGTGTTGTGTGTAGACACACAGATGAAATATTTCTTCGTCCATGTGAGAAATAAACAGTGAGCAAAAGTGTCAGTTTGGCTCAGATGTTTGTACAAAAGTTAAAATCAGACACAGCAATGATGACGTGATAAATCATCCTCATCTGTGTGATGAAGAGTTCAGTCCTGGCAGCCGATGATGATGATGATGATGAAGGGGAGGAGATGAGCAGCTGGATGGATGATTGTGCTGTCTCATGCTGCCTCCTGCTGGTGGAGATGCTGTCCTGCACCCACAGTCTGATGTGGCATTCAGGTCTGTCCTGTAAAGTCTAAAATCAGACGACCGAGTTTTGCTGTGACTGATTGTTTATGATTGATCGTCTCTGCGGGTGTGTGTGGCACTGATGCTGTTCTGCCTGACGATGACCCTGCTGTACATCTTCTGCTGCTCTTCCTTATACGCGTCCTTCACCTTCCCTCGCTTTAGGCTTCCGTCCCTGAAATGGAGAAAAAAAAAAATCAGGAAGGAAGTTTTCACTGAGAATCTCAATCCTGCAGTTTAAGTTTTTTTCCCACACGATTAACAGGAACTTCAAAATAGATTGAAAAACAGTAAAAAATGGTTTTCGACACAGAATTGATGCTTAAAAATTTTGTTTTGCAACTTTATGGATTATAAATATCATATAGTCATAACTTCGGGACTCAAACACAAAAAACTACTCATTAATTTATTATTTACAGTGCGTAATCATTTGCTTGTTAGTTTTATTGAGTCGTGCTGACACGTCACTTTAAATGAGCCCTTTTCTCTGTGAGCTCGCTCGGCTGGGAGAAAACAGTCCCTGCTGCTGAGGTGAAATCCTTCAGCTCGCTGTATGTGAAAGCAGACGTCGCCACGACTGACACCTACAAACCGGGACAAACAAACTAAATCTAACGTTCAGTGTTTGAATCAGAACAAAGTTGCTATTTCATCATTTAAAAAAGTGTTTTCTATCTTTAAACTGTTCTAATGTAGATACAAACTTCAAGTGTGATGTAGTTGAGTAACTGTACTGAGTAATCTGAGTACTCACCATGCCAGGTCAAGCAGTCCTCCCCGACAAGCAACGGCAGATTTCACTCTGTTGGCAAACTGGACTGCATCCTCTCCATCCTGAAAACACATCGCGGTCATGTTAGCTGTGATCACATGACTCTCACCATCTGTGTGTGAACGTGTTTATGCTTCGGTAACACTGCTTTTAAAAGCCCAAATGGCGAGCAGCACAGCATTTAACTCCTCGTCTTCATCTGCAGAGCTGTCATCACCATCATCACCCTCCATCAAAAGAGACGCTGGAGAGCGATGCTGATGATGCTCAGGTGTTACAGTGTCACCTTCCTGACACAGTGAAGCAGATGCTGCCCCAATCAGGTGAGAGTGGGAATTACAGCATGGGCAGATCCCTGAAAATCAAAGGAAAGCGCTCAAACCTTCAGACGTCAGGCCTTCAGGAAGTCCAGACTAACTCTGGATGAAACACAAAATAATTCACTGGGTTAACCCTCTGGGGTCAACAGACACTTCCTAAGAATAGTGCTCATTATAATTTGCTGCTGAAAAACAAACCAAACAAGAAAAAAAACCTTTTCCTATTGGTGGAAAAATGTGATGTGCTCCTCGTCTTATAGTGGACAGAAACTATTTTTTGGAGTGGCACAAGTCATTTGTGTGGCATCTTATTGTGAGGGTTATAGAAAAAACGCCTGAGGCACTGGCTGCATTTTTAGGTAAATGGTTGTATATAACTTTGTTGTTTGCAACTCTTGTGCATAGGTTTCTAAACAGTACAATTTCTATGCGCTTTGCACTTTGTGTCTTTATTGTGTTTCTATTTGAGGCCTTTCAGTATTATTGTGTGTGTGTGTGTGTGTGTGTGTGTGTGTGTGTGCGTTTCTCATCAGTTAACAGTTAATGTTTCCTATATTAGTGTCAAATGTTTTATGCTCAGACATTTGGTGATGTAAATGTTGGTGGGAAGTTTGTTGGTCACAAGCAGAACGTCGATCAGCTGATCTTTTCTACCTGGTGTTTCCTGTGAGGTCATGTGACAGGTAACCCCTGATGGATTAATCAGTATGTGTGTGAAAAGTTAAAGGCCAAAAATATAGTTTAATTTCCCCACTCGTACTTCAGATCCCTCCCTGGGGTGTTTCTAGAGACGTTGACCTCCGAGGCGTACCTGTATGGTCATGGGTGGGAGGTACCACACATTGACGACAATGGCCCAACTGGTCATGGTACGCAGCAGATAGCTGACCATGTTGTACTTGCTGCTGTTCCAGAAAGCATCACCCAAGCGAGGGTCGTACTGAGACACAAAGGGAGTGAAGGTGAGTCAGGTTCTCAAAGCCGATTGGCTCAGGTAAAACATTCTCTGGACTAATTGATCATCGTGCAGCTTTGCTACCTTGATGGCGACGGGATGGATCGTTCCTCCGATCTCAAAGCTGCCCTTCTTAAACATCATGACCGACGTGTTGTTGATACAAGTTCCTGTTACAGAGACACAGACAGACATTATCCCGCCATCAAATCAAGATTATCATTACCACCACCACCACCACCATCATCATCACCACCACCATCATGTGACGCTGACCTTCAGGAAATATAAGGATGGGAAGTTTGGTCTTTGCTGCTACGTGAGCTCTGAGCCTGCAGAGAGGAAGCACACGTCAGTGAGTCATCAAACACGTCTGCATCAACACTAAACAGCTGTAAATACAGATGTTCCCATTCTCTCGCTGTTTGACTGTAATGTGGTCACGAAGCCTGAGTGTGACCCTCGAGCTCGAGGCTGTGGTGAGCATTTAGTTCACAGGAAGTGACCCTGGACCAATTCAGCTGACTCATCAAAGCGTTACGCCACACGGCCACAGCTTGCCGAGGAGACAGCAAGGTAAACATCAACAGTTGATCATCAGCAGCTCGGCAGAGGATGAAACACACGCACAAACATACACACAGGCTCCTGATCCACCAGCTCTGACAGGCAGAGCCACGCTGAACTACCTCCTGAGCCAACGGAACAAATTAAAGGTCACAATGCTAAAAATGTGTGATCATACGAGCCGCACCCAGCTGTCAGTGATGTCAGAGCATCTCCACCATCATGGTTTGGAGCAGAAATAAAAACATCTGACTCTGTCTGGCAGGTGAAATCGTTTACAGTCAGCCTCACCTGCTGGTCACCGCGTGGCGGTCTTTCATCTCCAACCTCTCAAACCAAACATGAGGGCACGACCTCACCATCGACCTCTGGATGACCCCCATCAGACCTCCATGAATCTGCCCCACCTGAGGACAACATAGCATCAAGACAACAGAACACACACATGTACAAACACACAAAGGCACACCGACAAACACACATAAACACACACCCACGCACGCACGACACTTACCATGGCATAGCAGCCGTCATTGGCCAGGATCACTACATCGATGGGCGTGGTGTGATTAGCCACGCAGATCCCTCCTTTCTGAGGTCGATTCTCTCTGCAGAAAGAAACACGTGTTCAGATCGACAGGAAGTGCTCGACAGGAAGTGCTCGACAGGAAGCGCTTGACAGGAAGCAATGAAGTGGACTGACTTGTTGTGGTAGCGGATGGTGGCCGACAGCGCCCGGGCACAGATCCTGTAGCAGGTCAGGTGGACAACTTCGCTCAGCCAGTACTTCACACTGAAACAGATGCACATGCTCAGTCTGTGCCTCGCCGAGGCAGTCACCAAAGCTGTGAACCGTGGAAGCGCCATACCTGTTCTCAGGCAGAAATCCAACTAGAGTCGTTCCGATCACAAGCCACGAGAGGCCGATGATGGCCAGAGTAATCCTGCAGAGACATGAGGAGGAGAAGGTGAAAATCCCCCTGATCAGAGCTGTCTCACTTTTATTCACTGAGAAGGCCTCAGAGAGATAGTAGCTCTGTCACCTGGTTTCTGAATGATGGGTGTAACCATACAAACTGCACATGTACAGACTGCACTGCGGTGATGATGATTTGGAGATATGTTTATTAGTTAAAAGCAGAAGAGCACTGGAGTGACCTGAGAGCACTGAAACGTGCCTCTGGCTGAATTGCTTCACCGCTGTGAGAGCTGCTGTTCCTGTTGCAAAGGCCAAGGATGCTGAAATCAGTGCCTCCCCGGGTAGGTGAGAGGTCGAGCTGTGACACACTGACCTGAGAGGGAAGAGGACACAGTAGCGCACAAACACGCCGATGCCCCAGAAGATGGTGAGGCGGAGGCTGATGTAGCGGAAGTTCTGGTTGGTGCGGGTCAGGAGGTTCCAGGAGGCCAGCTCCTCAGAGGAGAAGCGCTGGGTCACCTGGTCGTCCACGATGCTCTCCAGGCCCTTCTTGCAGAAATACAAGGCGTCACTCAGAGCAAACTCACCGCCTTCCAGAGACCGAGAACGCCGCAACTGCTCCATCTCCTCCTCCATCGAGCCCTCCGCTCGCTCGATGATCCCTGAGTCATCAGAGAGTTTCAGAAAGAGTTCAGCAGGACCAGAGTTTAACAAAGACACAGTGGAGATGAGAGAGGAAGGGACAAAGAACAGCATCGCGTTTAGTCTCACTGTCTTTATTGGAGCATATATCATGTATTTTCATATGTTTTATCACACTCCTCATGTCTCTGTGATTTTCTTTTAAAAGCCTGTGTGACTGTCTTGATGCATGATCAATCATCCAGGTGAGCAAATCTCAATCGTTGATTCTGTTTATCTGGATTCTTCAGTGGGAGAAACATTTCATCATCATCCAAGTGATTTAATCAGTCTCAGCAGACTCCAGGTTTCCAACCTTTAAACAGAACCTGACTGCAGGTTTCCCCAATCTTATAAACAGTACATGTGCATACTAACTGAAACTAGCACCACTGGTGAAAGATGGGCTGTGAGGTCAGTTCCTTAATCTTAACCATTGCAGCCTCTCTGTAAATGCTACTCATGGTCATAACAATGATCATGAAACTGACCTCACATTGTTCGTCAGTGGGCTGGTTTCAGGCAAATTTACTGTTTATAAGATTGGGGAAACCTGCAGTCAGCTGAGACTGAAGAAGTCACTTGGATGATGATGAAACATTTCTCCTACTGAAAACATCAACTTTTTGAGAACCAGTGTGATTGTTTCTGTGTCGCTATGTGTTTTCAAGTGTTTTGGGGGTCATTTTGTTCTCTGTGTGGTGGTTTTGTGTCTCTCTGTAGTTGTTTAGAGTCTTATATTTTTTTTGTTGTTTTCATGTTTGTGTGTCTTCCTGTTTCCATGTCTTTGTCCTTGAATTAACCCAGAGGGACCTGAATGACCCTTTTTTTTTAAACTTTGGTCACTTTCCTGTCCTTAAAGACGTTTGACTCTGTGTGAAAGGTTCTTGTATTTATTTCTATTTTTTTTTCTGATCTTGTGCCTCAGAAAAAGTTTGCAGTAAATCTGTGAGGCCTACAGGCTGTTAAGGGTTAAACCTCTGACACACAGCAGCAAAGCAGCAGTAACTGTGTTTGTTATTAATGTGTGTGTTAGTGTGTGTTAAAGTGTGTGTTAGTGTGTTAGTGTGTGTGTCTGAGTTTCTCAGGCTTCTGTTTGACCAGCGTTATGTAAGCAGCTGTTGCATCATCATCCTGAGACGAGCCATGTGCTTCTCTCCCTGACCTACAGCCCAACATCAGATGCTGCAGCTGACCAATAGGAAGCCCCCACCCTCGGCGCACAGCGTCACGTGATCTGTGCTTGCAGCCAAACATCCCAACAGGAACAGGAGCTGAAACTCCAAGCAGCAGCACAGAGGAATCTCTTCCTGCTTTTAAAGTCTTGTGCGCCACATCAGAACGGAACAAAAGTTTGATCAGTGATGAGATCAACGGGATTATTGGTTTATTTAATAAATACAGTTTCAATATGACCAAATGTGATCATTAAAATGTTTAACATAGCGATTCACTCTTTAAAGCCTTAAAAATCTAATTTTAGTGTTTACAAATATTATTCTGTTATTAGAAATCATTTATTGTAAAAACATTATTATTTCTGATTTTTTATTATGACACGGATTATGACAATATCCAACAGCTTTGTACCTCATTTATTATAAATATATGTATATATATTATGTATATATACATATATATTATAGTTTCTTTATTTAAAGTGTCTTTTTAAAATTAGATTTATAGAATTATATAAAAATGTTATTATAAAACATATATACATGACATATACATAATTTTATTTTGATGTTTTTTATTCCCTGTTTAAAATATTTTTCCTGTTTTTATTATATTTGTTATTGAGGATGATGAGTCTTTATCTGACAGCTTTTGCTGTCTGGTAGTTTTTACATAAATGTGAATAATCAAACTTCTCTGATGATGTATTTCTACGTCTGATCATTAGTCATTATTTATTGATTAACCAACTGACTGAATGTTTGCTGCTGTGATGCGAGCAGACTCACCATTGGGCAGCGGTGCGGGTACGCTGGGCTGCTCCTGGCGTCCTCTCTGGATTCGTATCGTGGCCCACTGCAATGTTATTAGGACAGATGACCTCTGACCCCACTCTGCCGCTGCTGCTCATTGCACAACTTTACACACATGTTGAGCATAGACACGAATTCCTCTGAGGACAGCTTACCTCAAGGAGTTTAACCAGGATCTGGATGTAGACGCTGGTGACACCCAGAGAGAGGCCGAACATGGCGGGCAGCGTGATGAAGAACACGACTACGAACATCCATAGCTGGAAAACAGCCACGGCCACGGTCAACAGGTCCTCCATTGCTGACAGCTTGCACGTCACCTCATCATCTGCAAACAGGAGGTTAAAGGAGGCGTTACCATCATGTTCCCTTGAGGACGAACCAAAAACACTCTGACCTGCTCCCCATCACCTCCACCACAGTCAGCATGCCGTCCTTCTCCCCAATATACTTTCATTCTTTGACTTTCCAGAACAAATATTTTAATTCATATTACAGCTGTTGCTGAATTGAAGTTATAATAATAGAAATGTTTTAGGTTTGTGTTTGTTTGGGTTTTTTTTTTACCAACAAAACATCAAATATTTGATTGAATATAGGTTAAAAATGTGAATTTCATATTTGTCTGCTTTTAAATGAGAGGAAGGTGAAGAGTTTTGGCTATTGCGTGAGAAAGACAAATAAGGCATTTCATTATATCACAGGCTGTTTAAAAAACAAGTGCACATATTTAACTAATGCATAATTAATACATAATAATATGTTTACAGCCCTTTAAAAACACAAATAACCCTTTAAACTTGTAATTTAATGTAATATAAAAACAACAAATTTTAATTGAGATAAAAATTTATAATGAGAAAATGACCATTTTGAACTCAGAATGAAATCAGTTGTTAACTACAGGTTCATATATTGAGTATAAAACAGTCACTCACAGCAGTAAATGAAGTAGTTTTAAAACTTTAGCAGAACAATCAGTTTAGCTGTTAAAACAACAATAACAACAACAAACATTCAAAACTACGATTATTAAACAGCCTGCGGTGACTCTGGAAGTGTAACTCTTACCTGTAATCGAGTATTTGTACGTTTCAAATCCAAAGTACCGTTACAGGAGTGAATTACTAGAGCTATTGTTCGGATAAAGGAAGTTAGACCCGTTAGTCCGACTATCTAAACTGAACTAACCCGGGTTACCGGGACAGGACCCCCACAGAAGGCCCTGTTTCAGTGGAAGTGTGCCTGGGAGCGAGGAGAGGCGAGCGGGTATCTATCGTTCTGCTGTCCGTAGAAACTGAACCTTCAGCCCGCTGGTTTTATGGTTAGCTCGCTAACCAGCCCGCTCCTCCTCCAGCGGAGTCTGCTGCGCACGAAAAAATACGCAGCGTATGACTGCACGTATGTTACGCGTCTGTGTTTGTGATGAAACGGCATCATGGCGGAGCCCACTGTCCGCTTGCCCGGGATCGTTTTAGCTTCCCTCATGTTTCAGCACGTTAACAGTGACTCCGATGTGGTGAGGAGCTCTTTTACTCGTCATTAAAACTGATGAATTCTTATTGAGCCTTTGTGGGTGATTGTGTAGTATTATTGTTAAGGAGGGAAGCTAGCAAATAGAACAGACGCGCCAGGTGTTAGTATCAGGCTTTAAAGTTGATAAATTCGTATTTATTAGTTTAATTATTCGGATTTCAGCGTGTCGTTTGATGCAGCGAAGAACATTTTGTCGTCTAAGTGAAGTCAGAACTCCCCCTGTGGTGTTTCTTCAACTTTTAAACTAGCTAACCGCGCTCAGGTTCCAAACAAACCAGACTCCATTCAAAAATCTAATAATTTAAAGGAAAACCAGGTCCTGGTAAGAAGTCAAACAGTGTAAAACACATTAAAATACATTTTAATATTCAGACAGGTCTGTAGGTAAAGTCGGTACATCCATGATCCAACACGGAACGATTACGCGAGTTGAGTTTTGCATGAAACCCGAGATGTTACTGCTCCTTTTCAACCATTCCCGTCGGTGCACACCACACTCCATTCACAGATTTTAGGTTTTAATGTAACACTGATTATTCTCGTGTATTCGTGCACTTTTAAACAGATCCGTTGGTAAATTCGGCATATATTTAATCCAACTACTGAATCTTACTGAAGACATAATTTAATTGAAAAATTGGTGCTCAGTTCTCGTCCACCACCGTGTTTCAGAATACACCAGACTCCATTTAAAAAATGTAAAGTTTAATGAAAATGGCTCCTGACAAGAAAACATTAGCGTGAAACATAATCAAATACATTCAAGTATTCAGGTAGGTCTGTTGGTAAATTTGGCATATATTTTAATATTTATGTAAAAATGCTGTAGCTGAAATGATTAAACAGTAAACAAATGCTTATGGATGTAGGGTTTTTATATCTGGTTTTATTCATCCATCAGGAGGGGTTGATCCTCGGAGAGAGCAGGTTTGACGAGCAGGTCACCATCAGCGACTCTCAGGCCGATCACATCCACATCGAGGAAACATACAGTAAGTGCATCTCAATGAACTGTACAGTTACACGAGTACTACAGTTACTGGTACACGTTTAGGAATGTCTGTTTTCTCTGACAGACGTCCAGAAGCACATCGCCTGCCACAGACTGAACACGTGAGTGATGCATCATGACGTAATCATGTCATCGTGTGTGTGCTGTGTTCTTATGTAAAGGTGTGTCTGTGTGTCAGTCTGTACAGCAGTGATGGACAGGTGAACGCGGAGGAGCTACACAAGCTGCTGGCAGAGAACAAGCAGGTGAGTGGGATGGGGAGAAGGTTTCGGCATGATGCGATCATGTGATTGACGTGTTCGGCTTGTGCAGCAGAGCGTGATCGGCTGGTACCGGCAGCGCAGGAACTCGGAGCAGCAGATGACCTTCAGAGAGAAGCTGGTGCACGAGAACCTGAAGAGCGCTCTCTCCAACCCTCACATGATCTTTGTGCTGCTGACTCCCACCAAGACGACACCTCCAGGCTCCACGCACAGGATGGAGTACTCGGCCTTCATCTCTCGCAGCAGGTGGCGCTCTGAGTATACCTGAATATCTTTATATCAGCTTGCTCTCTAGCGTTGTCTCTTAATCCTCTACAAAGACACATCAGCTCATAGATTTTACCCAAATGTGGAGTTTGTGTTGTGGGAGGTTGCTCCTTTGGTGACATTTGAAATCAGTCCACAGAGTTAGCAAAGGTGGGCTTTTTTTTGTTTTTTTTTAAAGTTATTAAATTTAAATAATCTACCCCGGGGCTCCAGAACGATGCCCTGAGGAACACCATCAGAATCTGAGACTGCCAAACCTCTGTCTGCCTGAAATTCCCGCATGAAACCTCTTAAAGATGATTTTTACTGTTAAAGCTAATCAACCAGGTCACTGCCACCTGTTTGTGTTGGATGAATGTTTCTTAGTTTTATATAAAAAGAAAAGAAAAAAACAAATTTTACTCAGCAGGTGCTGGCAACTTAAATATCAGAAGAAACTAAGTGTGAATGAAGTGATGGTAAAATGTTGTATAATTATTAAAATGCTCCAGTTGGCTTTTAAAGTGAATAAAAACAACTGGGAGGCATTCAGGGACACTGGTGAGGCTTTAAGGTCAGTCACAGAGGTCTGAAACATCTCAGCTTTGGGTGAAGCAATCAGGTCAGTTAGAGGAACATTGAATGAAAACAGGTAGGTGGAGGTGGGTGGACAGCTCGGTGTTTCCACGTTTAACTGACTCGTGTCCTTTCCTTATGGTTTGTGTTTCTTCTTCTCCTGTGGAGGCACTTCATGAACGTCCCCGTGCTCATCACCAACCTTGGCCTCCTCGAGCAGCTTTCTTACTGGAAGGTGTCGGCACCGTGCTCTGCAGCTGGTTACAGCCTCACGATGAAGAAACACGGGTATGCCCCGCCCACGCTGGCACGTTTACACCGTGTCCGTGTTTCTTCTGGCATAACTGAGATCTCTTTGTTTCAGGTCAAAGTTCTTCTGCTCCAGCGGGCTGCTAAAGGAGGTGAACGAAGTGAATAAGATGAACGACTCGCTGCAGGCGGAGCTGCAGGTGAGCAAAATTGTCAGAGCACCCAAACTTCATGCCACCTCACTTCCTCTTTGATTCACTCTGCATCCTTCTGTTTGTGAACAGAAAACGTGCAGAGACGTGGAGGAGAGCGAACGCCTGGTCGAAATGCTGCAGACGGAGGTGTCAGCCCTGAGGACGAAGCTCAGAGAGAGGCAGCAGAGCGAATCAGGAAAAGGTGTCAGATTATTTTATCTAATCTCACACAGCAGCGAGATTAGATGAATTTCCAGTATCTGCCTCTTCCCAACACCAGGCACAGACCAGCTCTGACACCAGAGACACGTCTCAGGATCAGCCCAGCATTTTAAAAACACAACGCAGAAACTCTTTCTCTGCTAACATGTGGACAAGGAAAACTGAGAGTTAGTCTCATAATGTCCAAGGTGTTGTGTGATTTGTGGGCTTTTGATTGGCCAGTATTTTGCTGTGGTTAGGTCTATATCACTGCATGTTGCTTTGGCGTGCTCTCCACAGACAGTGAAGTCGCTCTTTGCATTTTCATGGAGAGAATTTTTAGATTTTTTTTCATTTTAAAAATTCTACCAGTTAGAAATTAAAATAATAATAATGACGAATATTTGGATTGCAGTGATAACTAAAGTGGTAGGTGAAGGTGAAAACCCTGACAGGAGAGGAAAAAGGAAGTGCCAGTTTAATATCTTTATTTAAAATCACAGTTGGCTGATGACCTCAGTAAAAAAGTTTCTGAACTTTTGCATTTTCTCCGTGAACAGAAAGCGCCGCCGACCCCTGCGAGCCAAGGAAGAACCGGCTGCTTCAGGAGGCCGTCAGGGCGCTGCTCGCCTCCTCGCCGCTCTTCCACACTCAGACGCTCACGCTGCAGGGACTTCCTGTTCCTGACCACACAGACGACATTTCCATAACGACAGCGAGGGAGGCGCCGCCGAGCGCAACAAACTACCGTAAAAGGTTGAGGGAAATGCTGCCAGAGAAGGAGAGGAAACGCAGGAGGAGCAAGAGCTGAGTCCAGGATGTATCCAAGTTCTGTCGGATGTTTTTGGAACCGGTCTGTTTAAAAGAAGTTATTGATAAAGTTTATTTCAAAAAAGGACAGCAGTGGTTCTTTTTAGCTGAGCAGGTGTAAAGTTCAGACTCTTCACGCTCAGATGGAGGACTGGTTTGATTTAGGCTTCCAGCTGTGACAATTTGGTGTTTGTTCCAGATGTTCGGTTTTAGAGTCATTGGGTTTTTACCTTTTCTTTGGTTCCAAAGTTTTTGCCTGACCTTCAGTTGATCTCACGCTCACAAAGAAACTGTTTCACACTGAGTTTTATTTTTCACTGTAAAGGATGAAGCGTGCGTTCCATTAAAGGTCTGACCGTGTGCGAACCTTCTGGGTTTTACCGGCTCTGTACGAGGCGACGGGACTTCAGAGAGCCCGGGTCACGTTAGTTCAAGCATTTTCTTTGTTTGAAACTCCAGTGACACAAACTTTAAAAGAGAATCTAGGAAAATAATATTTCAGTCATTATTTTATAGATAGAATATTTTATAGATTCTGTTTAGTGTGATGTTTGAAGGTCTTCAGATGATGTCACAACCTTTCAGTTTTCAGAAGGTCCAAATTAAAATAAATAAATTAGCAAGTGTTTTTAAAGTGTTTAAACTCCTTCACATTAAGAAACCGTGCAGAGGTGTTTACTCTGATGAGGACACGCTTCATGTTTGACGCTTTGGCCTAAGAAATTCACCGACAGCAAACTGACAGCAGAGAAACTTTATTTACACAGACACACAGATGTTTCACACTAATCCAGATGTTTGATTCCACAGATGTTAGGGTCCTTCATGAACTGTGGATGTTTGTGCGTCACTGACATAAAACCTGCAAACAAAAGTTTATATTAACGGCTCACGTCTGTAGCTCAGCTCAGAGGGAAACGCTTCTTATATAATTATGTTAGAAATGTGGCGAAAATGGGAATGTTTGGATTATATTTGTTAAAAGGCAAAAATATGAAAAGGAGGAAAAATGCAATAAAGCAGTTCATTAATTGGGTCATCAAATATTAATTTACTAAAAAGTCAATGTGAAGACAAAATATAGATTCAAGTTCTGGATGGAAAAAGCCAGTAATTAGCCAAAAGTTTTGTGTCAAAATTAAAAAATTTAGTCTAAAAACATCCTACAAAAATTGGGATTAATGTTGAGATTATGACAGCAAAAAAATCAAATGATGAAACAGAAGAATTGAAAGTTAAGATGCTGTGAACGTACCCATGGACTGAGCCTTCTTTATCGCCTTCGACACTTCTTTCTGTTTCCTTCCGCATAAACCTGAAAAACAGAAGGAGGTGTGACCCAACCTGAAGATGATTTAATCCAGATGACCTGTTTCGGGCGAAGACTCACCTGTGATGTGGCGGCCATAGATCCTGCCCGTGTGCGGCGAGATGAACTGAGAGAGCAGCTGCAGGGCGACAAACTCAGATTAATCCATGACTGAGACTCAGTCTGACTTGGGATCAGGAGATCCTGTCACACACCTGGAGGAGCAGAGCTGCTGCTTCAGGTGTGCACCCAAGCGCAAAGGTCAGTCAGAGGTGAAGGCCTGGTTTCTGATAAACTGATTATAATCTTCCCGGTCACAGATATTCTGACAATAATCTCACTCAGCGCGTTTCTCATTATTTAATCTGTGGTGGAGAGCTGTTTCTTCCCGTTTGACTCACCTGGATGTTTTTAAAGTCCACTGTGACGTCACAGAGGACGCAACCCTTCTGGGGCTCTCTGTACGGGTTCTCCATGTTCACCAGCTGAAAAACACAAACAAATCTTCATAACCAAACTGAAATCAACGGCGAGCATCCATCAGCCTGCACTCAGCACCCACCCCGCCCTCCGTCCGTCCGGCTTCATCTGCTGCGACCGCGAAGCTCCGCACACCTGCACGGAAGCAGCACGGCTAGAGTTAGCATTTGCACCACAAGGATTGGAGTTAAACTTATATTTTTGTAATTAACGTGTTACGCACGACTCACCTGTGTTTCCATAACGACATAAGACAGGTTTCCACCTCTGCAACTCCCTCAGACACAACATGTTGACCTAACACGGGACAGAAACCGCTTCCGCTGCAACTGAGAAATACTTCCGACCACTTCCGCAAAGACTGTTTGTGACTTGGATATATACTGTGACTGGACGATGTCAAACTAAATTTAAAATATAAACCTAAAAGAAGTATTCTGTCTGTTTTTAATATTTCACGGATTACCACAATCTAAATGTTTAATATTAATGAGATATAACGCTTCGCTTAGATTTTTTTACGGAAAGGTTTAATCGTTGCTCATTTCAAAGATAAACCAAATCAAGATAGAAATCACCCAGAACACATAAAGTCTTAGGAAAAGCAGCCCTAAGCCTCAGATTAGCTTTAGTTTGTGCCACTTGTCAGCTTGCTATTAAAGCGGTGTTGCAGTTTGTCATTGAAACGTGACTGAAACCACGTACAGCTGTCCTAAAACTCCTAAACTATCCGAGCGACAAACATCACATCTAATTACCGTTTCAAAACAGACTTAACCCGTTTTCAGTCGAAACTCAATTTTTCATCCAAGGCGTCTAATTATTAAGGTTTGATAAGACTTAAATTTTTAGCATTTAAAAGCTAATCGAGATGTTTAAATGCACGTTTTGACACTTTTTGAACGACTGTAACTAAGAGTTGGCGCCTCAGTAAACCGAAAGCGGAAGTGATGGTGGCATTTCTCTCTCACTCCAGGATTAATGATAGTTATTTTGAATGAAGGATTCGCTGAGCTGCTGTAGATGCGCGTTTAGTGAACGTTAATTATTACTGGTGGTGTTAAAAGTTATTCCATGGACACGACACACTTTTATTTATTTGAGCTTGTTTGTGATTAATTTGTAGTTTTTGTAACTGAATGCCGGCGCTTGCTAGCTAGCTGCTCACTGAGCCTGTGTGGGTTCTTTGGTGTTTTTAGGTCTCATCATTTAACGTCAACTTGTTTAAGGTGGCGTTTAAATGGCTGCAGCAGCAGGTTAGTGAAGTATGCGAGAACTATAAGATGTTTATTGTGTTTCACATGTAGCCGCAGGGGTCTGCGCTCACAGGGATGAACTACGGAAGGCTGGAAGTCAAAATAAAACGAGTCTGTCAGAGGAAGAGGGCGAGAGACCACCTGAAAGCCCACCTGACACCTGCCAGGAAGAGGGGAGGGGCTGTCTGTTCCCCGCTATGCAACTCCAACAGGAGGATCAGCAGCATCATGGCTGAAAGCAGAGCTGTGGAGGTACATCTTGCATATTGACCAGCAGGGGGCGACTCTCCTCAAGTCTGATTGCATTGAAGTCTGTGAGAAAATGAGCCTCCTCCCCACCTAATCTCTGAGCTCAGGGAACACCTCCCCGATGTGTTTAATGACTCAGTTGGTCATAGAGTAATCAGCCTTTCACTGGCAGAAAGAAAAATGATGCCCTGATCGATTAATAACCTGTTTGAAGTCCACGCTGGTGGTATTCTTTTTTCTTGGCAGTACTGCAGCGACAGCGAGGATTTATTCGGCGACTATGACAGCATCTTAGGGGATTCGTCTGTCCTGGCAAAACTGGATGATGCCGAGCAAAATGAAAGGCTTCGAGGGGTGGAGCAACAACCAGAAGACGAGGATGTCCTCTCAGACTCCATCCTGGACGGCCTTGGAGATGAACCCTTCGAGGACCTACCGGCCAGCCAGCTGCAGTTTCAGGAGGAAGTTCAGGAGAAGGCGAAGAGAAGCCGACTCCAGGACAGAGACAAAACCTCAACACCTTTCAGAGGACTAGCAAACGGAGAGGGTCCACCCAGGAGACCAGCCGGAACGAGGAGGAGTGTTGCCGACCAGCTGAAGAGGACGATGCTTGGCAACGCAGCGGCTCCTTCTGCCGTTTCACGGACAGCGATGCTGAAGGAGGCGGTGGTTTCTGAGGAGATAAACGTCGCCATGCAGGCCATGGAGACTGTCTCTGCTGACATGCCTGACCTTGGGCCATTCTTTGGGCTTCCAAGCAAAGTGAAGGAGCTGATGTTTAAACTGAGAGGAATCCAGAGTTTGTATGGTGAGATTTTTGTATATCACAATAAAATTGAAATATTGTAGTTTCTGCACAGAATAAGTCAAGTGAAGACATTTACAACCGGTTTTGTTTTTTGGGGTTTTTTCAGACTGGCAGCAGACGTGTCTGAACTTGGACTGTGTTCAGCAGAGGAAGAATCTGATCTACTCTCTTCCCACCAGTGGTGGGAAAACTCTAGTGGCAGAGATCCTTATCCTCAGAGAACTGCTGTGCAGGAGGAAGGACTGTCTGTTCATCTTGCCCTACATATCGCTGGTGCAGGAGAAGGTACAGAAACCACAGAACATCAAAACATATCAGAAAAGTCTGTTTTGTCAACAGAATGCATAAATGCTAGTAGATGCTACTGAGTTGCTAATGGGTAATAGGCAAATGAGTAAAATTAATCGATGTTGTTTAATGTTCTGTAGGGAAACGTTCAGACTGGACTGGATTATTGTTGATGTTACTCTCACTCCTGAACACGAGCAAATGGTTAGTTAGCTTTTGGTCTCAGATATAAAAGTATATCATCTGCATAAAACTTGACATCAGAAGATAATAATATTTGTGTTTATGGAATAAAAGAGGAGTAGAAGTAATGACTTTCTGGTTGTGTGGGATAACAAGCTTTGACTTAAAATATAAAATGATAAAACTTCATAAAACTTCTAAGCATAAATTTTAATTTACACTTAGAAGAAATACAAATAAAAATCAGAAATAGAGCACTGTGGGGTGATACGAACTGCCATGGTAGTGTGGATTATCGATTTCCTTATCGATTCTCATTGGCTCCACTTTGAGAGTCACCACCATCTTTAAGCACCATATCAAAGACATTACATTCATGCAAATTAATTACATGCAGTGTGGACAAAAGTTTGTGCATGTTGGAGGTATTTTCTCTCTTTGTTGTGATCAGTGTTGGGGTCATTACTCAAAAAAGTAAAGTAAAAAAGTTATTACACTGAGCACTTTTCTTAAAAGTAATGCAGAACGTTACATTGCATATATTTTTTATCATAACTCTGGTTTTACGTGGCCTATCAACACAATTTAAAAACTGGTATAAAGTCCACACTTTTTCCGTCAATTGTTCCGTCTGTCCTGCTCACATCTCCAAAGGTTGTACATGTTGTCATTAACGTGGCTTCACTCCTCATCAGCTGCTTTGCTAGCTAAAACACCGGTGTGGGCACATAAGGACGCTGTCATAGCCTGTCAACAACGTTGATTAGCTGCATATATACGAATGTGAATCGCGTGATTGGCTGAACTATGGAATAAGGTGGCATCGTTCTAATCCCATACTGGAGCAGCCAGTCACTTACTGACTAACACTGCAAAACAGAATTGTTATCGTATTTACTTTAATTTCAATTCAGGTTAGATTTTTTTTTGTGCGCAACGCAGATTTTTTCTGCGCAGAGACCGTGCCAGCAGTGCGCAATTGCGCACGCGCGCAGCTTAGAGGGAACGTTGCTTACGAGGACATTATACTACTACTGTTCTATCGAAATTTTAAACAAATATCCTCATATGTGGATCTCATTTTTCTTAGAAACAAAAATCAGTAAAAAAAAAAATCTGGTAATTCTTTGTTTTTACATTCATCAGGTCCCAATCAGCCCAAATATTAAAGATAAATTAAAAATGCATGCCATGGAAGAGTTCGAGTCTTAGGAGGTTAAAGCAGTTGTCATGGTGATTCTATCCCACTTTAGAAACATGAACAGGTAGAAACGGGCCTGACTGCTTATCAGTTTGTTACCAGTTTAAGTTCAGCAATGGCTGTCTTCAACACAAATGACAATTCATTTTATCACGGTGCTGGTCTGGGGTCAGCATTCACTCAGCTTTAAAATCGCTCTGGGCTCTTGGCTAGCTTAGTGTTAGCATGCTATCTGTGCAGGTGCTTGTGAAGAGCTGAAGTTGTGTTAACAGTATGATGCCGTTTTTTCTGTCCTGGAGCAGTCTCCACTTCACCATCACACTCTAATCCTTTTGTGCAATAAAAATAAAAGTCATGTCCATGTCCACACTGAAGACTGCACCACTATTTTCCTCTGGCACACAAATTGAAATCAGCTGATTGTAGTGAGAGTGCAAGAACTGATAAGCAGGATCCATAGGCAGGCAGATTAACGATTCCAAGGAATTGCACTACTACTCTCAATTTCCATTTCTAATCATATCATTATCATATTTATGTTCATAAGAAATAAAAGAGGATCAAAACTAGAACCTTGTGGGACACCTTTCAGAGAGCCTTCGTTTTGAACTATTGGGAAGTACTTTTCACTTTTCCAGGTGCGTGGTTTAGCAAGCTTTGGTCTGGAGCTGGACTTCATGGTGGAGGAGTACGCTGGCAGCAAGGGCAGGTTTCCTCCCGTGAAGAGAAGAAACAAGACATCCCTTTACATCGCAACCATAGAGAAGGCTCACAGCCTCGTCAACTCTCTGATAGAGAGCAGCAGGCTGGATAACCTTGGACTGGTGGTGGTTGATGAGGTACCTCCCACTTTGGATGAAAGGTGTTTTATACGGCTGGAGAACATTTAACTGAGATTATGTTTCTTCTGCAGCTTCACATGCTGGGTGACGGCAGCAGAGGGGCCATTATAGAAATGACTCTGGCCAAAGTTCAATATGTGAGCAGTAAGTGTCTTCTTATAGTCTCCATAACTCAATCCAGCCTTAAGTTAAAAACAAACTTCTTGCTTTTGGGTTCTTTTTCTTTTTCTTTTTCCAGAAACAACACAGATAATAGGAATGAGCGCCACTCTGGGGAATATCAAAGACCTGCAGACGTTTCTGAGGGCTGAAAATTACACGAACAACTTCAGGCCTGTAAGTGATTGACTCAAAGCTGCACCCGAACCTTATAAAACCCTCGAGTGAACACTGACCCTAACTTCCTGCTTCCACAAGGACTTGCTCGAGCATAACAAACAGATTAGTCCACCGCTGAAAACAGTTCCTAACACTGAGCAGCTGTTTGAGGGGCTCACTGAGCGTTGTTAAAGTTGCTCATTAACTAAAATCAGGTCTGTGTGTCATGCAAATGCAACTCTCAGAATTAGTCACGACTTATCAGCTGCACATATGAAAATGGATGTGGATGAGCTGGTGATAGTCAGAGGAGAACTTGTGTTTCAAGATCGTTGCATGGAACTGCTGGTTTCTATCAGCAGGGCTTCTTCCTGTCTTTTAAACTCACTTTGGGAGTTGGGGTAAATTGGCGCTCTGTGATTTATTTTATTTTTATTTTTTCCAGGTTCAGCTGAAGGAATTTGTCAAACTGCACGACACCATCTACGAGGTGGACCCAAAAGAAGAGAACTGCTTCAGGTTCTCACGTCTTCTCAACTTTAAAGTAAGTAAAAAACATAATTAACTCTAACAATACAGTGGAGGATCACACCAACACACCGTGGCCACATTAATAGGTACAGGAGACATTTTTCCTGCAGTAAATGAAAGTTTAATATCCTCCTCTTTCGCTTCCGTGGTGCTTGGTCTTTCTCTTTCCTGCAGTACTCGAGCACGATGCAGAAGATCGACCCGGATCACATCATCGCTCTGGTGACCGAGGTCATCCCAGCGCACTCATGTGTGCTCTTCTGTCCCACCAAGAAGAACTGCGAGAATGTGGCGGCGATGATCTGCAAATATCTGAAAGAGTGAGCAGCAGCCACCGGGTGACTCCTCCCACTCTGCCGCCCATGCCGATCACTGACTCAGAAACCTTTCTCGACTCTTTCAGGGACTTTTTGCGGCACCGCGAGGAGGAGAAGGGCGTCCTCCTCAGGGAGCTGCGGGACAGCGGGAATGGCTCGTTGTGCCCGGTGTTAAAGGTCACTGTGCCATATGGCGTGGCGTACCACCATAGCGGGCTGACATCCGAGGAGAGGAAACTGGTGGAGGAGGCCTACTCCAGCGGGGTCCTCTGCCTCCTCACCTGCACCTCCACCCTAGCTGCAGGGATCAACCTACCTGCTCGCAGGTGAGCTGCTCATTTAACAGCGTTTTCCCCTTCCTGTCACAGTAGTCAGGAGCTCACCTGCGTGTTCATGTGTACATATCAAAGCTTATGCACATTTGCTGCTGCTGAAATGATCTAACCTCTGTTTGACCTCTGTTTGCACACAGAGTGATCCTGCGCTCGCCGTACATGGCCACGGACTTCCTGAAGAGGAGCCAGTACAAGCAGATGGTGGGACGAGCCGGCCGAGCGGGGATCGACTCGGTGGGCGAGAGCATCCTGATCCTGCAGGAGAAGGACAGGAACATGGTAACTAGAGCCATGAGGGACTCAAACCGATGTCTGATTAAAAACAGTGAGCCTAAAAACTGGAGCTTTCCAACAATATTATGTCAAAATACTTTTTTAAATCCTCAAATATCTGAAATACAGATCTGCAGGCATAAAATCTGTTTTAGGTTATTAAAAAAACAAAGAAACGTTAAATTCAAAGAGTTAAAAGGTTTAAAAGCTTTATTAAATCTTTGTGTGTGTTTATTTGAGGTCAGCAGCTGCACAGAAACCTCTGTAATGTGCAGGGTTGGACTGGGACAACCGGCCCACTATGGTATTATGGGAAAAGCCATAAAGCCTTTATAATGAACTTAAACCTACACCATCTTCCCTATTCTGGTATTCTAAACAGTACTTAGCAAAAATATAAAGCAACCTAATTTATAATTACATATA